GCATCTGGTTGTACTTAGGTGGGGGGGGGGGGCTGGAACGGCGCCCCGCTTTCTCTCCCCAGCCTTGGCCGCACCGGCAGCTGTCAAAGGCGGTGGGCAGCCCCCACCCCAGCCCACCCCAAAGCCGGACCCACGCTCCGTGTCCCTTGGCTTTCTCCTTCTCTCCCAAACCGCAACCGGAGAAAGCTCCTCGTCGTCGTCGTCGTCGTCCCCCCCCGGGGTCCGGTCGGGCTGTAGCGTCCCGGGACGCCCGGGCCAGGCTTAGCCCGGGAGGTGTTTGTCATCGTCGTGTCCCCCCCCCCGGGCCGGGGTCCCTCCGTGCTGGGGCAGGGGATTGCTGCTGAGCTGTTCTTTAGATTTTGGAAGGGCTGGGAGCAGGCTGGGTGCCACGGGGGGGACAGTCCTTGTCTCCCAGAGCGAGATAAAGGGGATGGGAGGATTTTTTTTTCGGGGGGGGGGAAACTGAGGCACGGGAGGGACAGGCAGGGCTGAACACAGAGGCAAGGGCTTGGGTCTGGCGGGTCCTGGCTGGAGGATCACGTTTCTCTTTAATGGCATTGTCTGCACTGGAAGGCGTCTGTTGATATAACTCTGTCTACATGAGGGCTTTTTCTGGCCAAAAATCCTTCCCTTCCTGCCCTCCCGGGCTGAAACAGCTAGGCTTGCAAAACTGTCCGGGCAGAGCCGGCTGGAGCCTCCGCTCCGCTCCCACTTCATCCAGCTGCACGGGAGAGAGAAGGCTTTGCCCGCTGATGAGCCAAACTAATTAGGAGTGGTTTTGCTAGTGGGTGAGGGCCCCCTCCTCACCCCGCTCCCGCGCACCCCGAGACCCCCATCGCTTCTCGGGGCCGGCGAGGTGGCTATTCCCCCCCCCCTCCGCCTTCCCGGCGTGCCTTTACGAGATCCTTATGTGACTAATTTAATTACTGCAGCTCTTCCCTGGGGGCCCGGGGGGGGGGTTCAGGCCCTGCCACGCACCACACGAGCCGGGTATTTACCCCCAGTTGATGTCCACAGGACTGGGACGGGGAGGTCCACCAGTGGGGTCTGCTCAGCAGCCACAAACACCCCCTCCCCAGCATCCCCCTGACCCATGTGGGGGCTTGTTTTTGTTTTGGGGTGGCGAGTCCCCCCCCAAGGCTTCAGGCAGCGCTGGAAAAAGCTGAGCACCGAGGCCTTGCCGCTGCCGCGGGTCCCGGCGAGGCTACGAGGAAGGGAAGTGCCGGGAGAGGAATTTGGGTTCCTCGGCACAACTCATGCCAGAGGTATCCTGAGGCCGCCCGTCCTGGCAGGACGGCTGCCCGCGGCTCACCGGCTGCCCCGGTGATGCCACCCGTCTGCACCGGTGCCAGCGGGCCAGCCCTGCCACAGCAGGGGAAGAGAGCTGCCCGTGCTGCCGCTTCTTTGCCAGGGATGCCAAAATGGGACCGCTGGGAGATCCGGCCCTTGGACCAGCCCCCGGGCAGCCAGGGAGGGAGGAATTAGCCGTGGCCCCGGTTTCCCTTCACCCGGTCAGCAGGATATCCAGGTCTCAGTGCCCAGCGGTGAAGAGAGCAGCCGCTGGGTTGGATCCTGGTCGAGTCTCCGGCCGGGAAAGGCAACCGGCATCGCTCCCACCACACCCCACCACGCCGGGGGAGAAGCTCGGCCGCGGCTCCCTGTGTTTGCAGAGCCTGTCCGAGCACTGACCAAACGTGTCCAGCCCGAGGGTTTGTTCTTGGCTCATCCTGGGGGGGTTGCTGAGCAATTCGGCCACGGGAACAGGGACCCCTCGGGTGCCCCCAGCACCTGGGGAGGGATGCAGCCTGCCTCACTCCCCGCGTGCGGCTCCACGGTCACGTTTGGAGGTGCCAGGCTAAACTGGGGGTGGGGCTGGTGTGCTTCTGCTACCCACGGCCGTGCTGTCACCCTGCTCCCCCCACTCGTGGGGAGGGGGATATGGGGGGTGCGCAGCTCTGCAGGGCTCACGCAGCCCCCCAGGGTAGCTGCTCAGGGGGAATCTGCTCTCCCATGCTGTCCACGGGGGGCTCAGCATCTCCTGCCCGCAGGGTGATGGCAGAGCGATGGGCACGGGGAGCATCACGTGCGTGAATGGGGCTGGGGGCCTGAGCCCCCCTCCCCGGGTGTACGAGCTTCCCAGCCGTGCCTGGAGCGCTCTGGCTCCGGCCGCCTGGGTTTCACCTAGATTACACTTTCCAGGCGTAGTCAGCGAAGGCTACTGGTTGCAGTCACACTTGTCAAGCTGCCCAAAAATATTTTCCAGCCGTTATATGTCGCTTATTCATGCAGGGTAAAAATCCACCCGCGGAGCCGGGGCCGGCAGGAGGCCTGCGGTTCAGGGCTCAGGATGGCACAGAGACCTTGGAAATCTCAGGCCGATCCCGGGATCTGCTTTATCTTTGTGTAATCACCCGTTCGGCGCGGTGGCGTGCTCCGGCGGGGGCCGGGTGTGCGATGGCGAGGCTGGGGGGCTCGCTCGCCCACCCGCCCTCCCTGCCCTCCCTTCCCGGCTCCTGGGAAACACTCCGGCTGCTGATTCACGCCGGCGGGTCGTGGCGAGGGGGGAGATGGCGTTTCCTGAGGCTTTATCCGCCGCCGTGCCGGGGCTGGGAAACACATGGCCGGTGGGATGGGGCGGCCTTGGGGAACCACGGCCGGACCCGGGGAGAACAAAGCAGCCGGGAGGGATACGGGCAAAGGAGGGAGGATGGCTCATGGGTGGTTTTCCCCAAATTTTTCATCTTGACTGTGCCGCAGAGGGTGTTTTCTGGGTGAGAACGTGCCCTCCTGGTTGCCCACGGCTTTGCCGAGGCTTCACGGGGGTCTCCGGCGTCGCGGCGGGGAGAGAAAACAGCATCCTGCTGCCATCCCGCCGAGCTGTGGAGAGCGAGTGTCCCGCTTATAACCTGGCCAAGGGCTGCAGGAGGGCTGTCGGTCACCGCTGTCCCGTCTACCCCGGGAGGGGCTTTGTATGGCAAACCCCCCTCTGTACACATGCAAAAGGCAATGAGAAAATCCCCCCCTTCTCTCAAGCTGCAGGAGGGTTTAAGCAGCCCGGCCAGGGAGCTGCAAGCAAACTTTGGAAGGAGTTAATCGGTGCGTGGGGAGGGCTGGTGGGGACAGGGTTGAGCAATAAAAGCACGAGGGGGGTATATGTTTGCAGCCAGAGCCCTGGGGCAGATGCACAGAGGTCTGGGAGCCCTTGGGAGCCGGTGCCCCTTGGCAGGGCTGGTGCCGAGCGGCAGGGACAGGCACAGTGCCGCTACCAGGGGCCAATCCTGCCGGGGCGGCTGCCCCGAGCCATGAGAGCCCGGGTTACCCCCACATGTGCTGAGCCGGGTGTCGGGGCGCGTTCCCATCCCCGATGGGCTCCGGTCCCCGCTCTCACCCTGCCACCGCTGGGCTCCCCTCCTCGCAGGGGAATGCAACAACAACCCCCCCCCCAATCCCCTTGGCAGAGCAATTTGCAAATATTTTCCTTTCCAGCAGCTCTCCCTTTCACAAGT